TCACACTACACACTCCTGGGTATATCACACTACACTCTGGGTATACTTCACACACACTCCTGGGTATATCTACACACTCACACTACACACTCCTGGGTACATCTACCTCACACTACACACTCCTGGGTATATCTACCTCACACTACACACTCCTGGGTCATACTCTACACTCCTGGGTATATCTAACACACTACACACTCCTGGGTATATCTAAATCACACTACACACTCCTGGGTACATCTACCTCACACTACACACTCCTGGGTATATCTGACTCACACTACACACTCCTGGGTATATCTACCTCACACTAACTTCACACTCCTGGGTATCACACTTCACATCTACCTACACACTACACTTCACACTCCTGGGTACATCTACCTCACACTACACACTCCTGGATATATCTACATCACACTTCACACTCCTGGGTACATGTACCTCACACTACACACTCCTGGGTATATCAACATCACACTTCACACTCCTGGGTATATCTACCTCACACTACACACTCCTGGGTACATGTACCTCACACTACACACTCCTGGGTACATCTACATCACACTACACACTCCTGGGTATATCTAATTCACACTACACACTCCTGGGTATATCTACCTCACACTACACACTCCTGGGTATATCTACCTCACACTACACACTCCTGGGTATATCTACCTCACACTACACACTCCTGGGTATATCTACCTCACACTACACACTCCTGGGTATATCTACCTCACGTTACACACTCCTGGGTATATCTACCTCACACTTCACACTCCTGGGTATATCTACCTCACACTACACACTCCTGGGTATATCTAATTCACACTTCACACTCCTGGGTATATCTACCTCACACTACACACTCCTGGGTATATCTAATTCACACTGCACACTCCTGGGTATATCTACCTCATACTTCACACTCCTGGGTATATCTACCTCACACTACACACTCCTGGGTACATCTACCTCACACTACACACTCCTGGGTACATCTACCTCACACTACACACTCCTGGGTATATCTGTCTCACACTACACACTCCTGGGTATATCTACCTCACACTACACCCTCCTGGGTACATCTACCTCACACTACACACTCCTGGGTACATCTACCTCACACTACACACTCCTGGGTACATCTACCTCACACTAAACACTCCTGGGTATATCTACCTCACACTAAACACTCCTGGGTACATCTACCTCACACTACACACTCCTGGGTATATCTACCTCATACTTCACACTCCTGGGTATATCTACCTCACACTACACACTCCTGGGTACATCTACCTCACACTACACACTCCTGGGTACATCTACCTCACACTACACACTCCTGGGTATATCTGTCTCACACTACACACTCCTGGGTATATCTGTCTCACACTACACACTCCTGGGTATATCTACCTCTGCCCAAACACTGCTGTGCTTAGGTACATCAGTCCACACATTCCTGTGTTTAGCTATTGCAGTCCACATGCTCCAGAGTATATCTACCAAAGACTACAGACTCGTGGGTACACTAGTAACCTTTCTCCTCTCTAGGGTTGGTATTTCCTAGACTTTTTCCGAAATTAGTCTGATACCACAGAAAAAAGTGTAGAAGATGTTATTTGTACTAGTAAGTGGGAGTAATATTCGAAAATTTTCGAAACAGGGTAAAAAATCCACAATTTACGGTGCAGATTTTGATTATCTTTGAAGGTTATTGCTTATAGTGTTCCCTTGGATGCTGAAAAGGCAAGAATGTTTATATGGACAGTACAGTTTAAATCAGAAATGATCCCCCAAATTACACCTTCGTTCCTACTCTTGAGGGGTGTTCTTTTCCGTCATTGTATTTACATCGTAGAAGATCAGATATATCATCACCAATAAAAATAATAGTTCTTGACATAAGCATAAAATCTTAAAAAAGAATTTCAAAATGATAATCTACTTGCAGACATTTAAAGGTTAATTTTGTACTATAAACCAGATCAGATAAAATGTCCCTGAGGATGAAAATGTTGATAATGTCTGGATGAATCTTTTACAGCTATTGGGAGGTTTGTGTTACAAAGAAATGATTAGGGAAACGTTTGTTTTGTATGATATCCTGTATGGTAGCTACAGTTGCCGGCTTACCTGATAGACCTATAAGGGCTTGTCTACCACATCCTGATTATTTTATTCTTAAGCATTCATATAAGTCAGTTTCTATGACTCCCACCTTTATCACTGTAAAGTATCATGTATAGATTACCCAGCAATAAGTCCATGCCGGGTAACAAGCCCTCCCACCTCTATCACTGTTAAGTATCATGTATAGCTTACCCAGCAATAAGCCCATGCCGGGTAACAAGCCCTCCCACCTCTATCACTGTTAAGTATCATGTATAGCTTACCCAGCAATAAGCCCATGCCAGGTAACAAGCCCTCCCACCTCTATCACTGTTAAGTATCATGTATAGCTTACCCAGCAATAAGCCCATGCCGGGTAACAAGCCCTCCCACCTCTATCACTGTTAAGTATCATGTATAGCTTACCCAGCAATAAGCCCATGCCAGGTAACAAGCCCTCCCACCTCTATCACCGTGTATAGCTTACAGAGTTATTTTCTTTCAGAAATAGTTCAAACTTGACTAGATTTTATTATTTATTAGTATAAGACTTTTTGATGAGATGCACATATTGACCTTGACTGACCCCAATGGGCTGATGGGTAGGGCCAAAAGTGGGTAAAATTGACTGAAATTTCATAGGTTTTCTATTGGTCCTGGATGGCAGATTTCATATAGGAAAATTCAAATCTTGAGTGAAATTTCTTTAATTCAAACTTGGTTAGAAGCCAAAGCATGGGACAATAGCTTAGGTATACAATTTACATTTGTATTATGTGTACAATAAATAGTTAAAGTTATATCAATTTTTTTAACAAAATCATTTCTATGACATATGATACAGGAATCATTGTGGCTCAGGTGACAGTTCAGGCCCTTGGGCTCTCTTATTGTAGGATATAATATAATTCTAAATTTTTATTAAACACAAAGAGTTGAAAATATAGATATATGGTCGATATTAATGTCTTGTTGTTCATAGGAGAATACCCCGACGCCATCTGAAGGACATGCACAATTTTAAGGACTATTTTGGAGACCTGAATTAAATTTCAAAACAGAATCAGATGATTTCTTCACATCAAAAAGGAATCAACTTCATCAGTGTTGTTTCTTGTTTCCTCTACTGCTACATTGCAAATTCTTGTCTGAGTTACGAATGTCGCACATATCCTAATTTTCAGTTATACAAGGAGACACTATTATACCATGGTCATGGTTTGATTTCGGAACTGAGGCATGATAGTGTATGCTCATATCAAAATTGATTTTTCAAGGGACAATAATACAACTTTATTTAGCCCATGGTGATTCTTTTCAAATTATCACAGTACAGACTGGTATGTAGCCTATTCCTGTCATCAAACCCAGGGGTATAAAGATTTGTAATTACAGGATATAAAATATATAGCACAGAGGGTATAAGACTACTGTTTCTGCTTTGTCTGGGTGTCAGAAACACCACACTCATATTGGTTTGCCCACAAGTCATCCTGCGTCCCTGTTCTGGAAAAAAAAACTTGCAAGACATGTCTGACTTGCAGTAAATATATGTTCCCAAAGGTCCATATTATGTGATGTTTCAGGTAGAAATAATGGTGCGTGTCTCAAAGGTATACCCATATTGTCAAGATGATAATGAAACAGTTTGTTTTCTCCACTGCGAGACTGCTATTATTTTTGTCTTGTAACAAAAATGATTACAATTTCTCTGTGCAGTGTTAAATGTCACCAGAAACATCTTGAGTTCAAATAATGCTACTGATGTTATCTTGAACATGTATTTAAACAGCTGCCACTGTTCCATAATATTCCCTTTATTTTCCAATTTGGTAGATGAAAGTAAAAAATATTTTGTCTTCTGTCTGCATTGATAGAATGTCAGCTTTAAGGATTTCAGTAAGTTAAGGGTACTGCCATTTCAGTCTGACATAATAGTTTTCTGTATGGTATTTCTGTCAGTCAATTATTAGTTTTGGTTCAAGTGAGGTCTCTCTTTAAATGAACCATTGGGTTTCTTTCCTTGGGATATTGGCTACGGCTTGTAATGAGGTATTCTTTTGAGCTGGATATTGGTTTGGCTTAGAGTGAGGTATTCCTTTGAGCTGGATATTGGTTTGACTTAGAGTGAGATATTCCTTTGAGCTGGATATTGGTTTGGCTTAGAGTGAGGTATTCCTTTGAGCTGGATATTGGTTTGGCTTAGAGTGAGATATTCTTTTGAGCTGGATATTGGTTTGGCTTAGAGTGAGGTATTCCTTTGAGCTGGATATTGGTTTGGCTTAGAGTGAGATATTCTTTTGAGCTGGATATTGGTTTGGCTTAGAGTGAGGTATTCCTTTGAGCTGGATATTGGTTTGGCTTAGAGTGAGGTATTCTTTTGAGCTGGATATTGGTTTTGGCTTAGTGTGAGATATTCTTTTGAGCTGGATATTGGTTTTGGCTTAGAGTGAGGTATTCCTTTGAGCTGGATATTGGTTTGGCTTAGAGTGAGGTATTCCTTTGAGCTGGATATTGGTTTTGACTTTGAGTGAGATATTCTTTTGAGCTGGATATTGGTTTGGCTTAGAGTGAGGTATTCCTTTGAGCTGGATATTGGTTTTGGCTTAGAGTGAGATATTCCTTTGAGCTGGATATTGGTTTTGACTTTGAGCTGGGTACCTGTATTTGGCTATTGTCTTTCAGACCTTTTGATTCGGTACTGTTTGTGAGTTTTAGTTATTGATACCTGTCTTCACTGTCATGAAGATTTAAGGAATACGGTATATGCTTTCTCATTTTCAGTTTATTAGGTAATAGCCTAAATTAAAAAAAGCATCAAACAATATATGTACCTTGTTCTGTATTTTTCCTATATTTCTCTATTGCAGTCTGTCTTTCAGCAATGTGTGTACCCAAACCCAGCTCCACGGCACCAACCACCAACTTGAAATGTCTAGTGTGTGGGGACCGATCATCTGGGATACACTACGGAGTGCTGGCCTGTGAGGGGTGCAAGGTAAGATTCCAGTATACTGATGTAGGCTGAAAGTATAGTGTAGAATATATCCCTGGGTGCTGGTGTTGAATTGGATTTGCATGGGTACAAAATTCAGATACAGTCTAGAAAACTGGTCTGTAAGGTCCATGGTACTTGTGACTGAAATCTAATGGTGTGTGACATGTTGCCAAGGATTTTTAGCCCACCATAATTTGATAGTTGGATGCTCAATTTCTGTTGTCAGTCCTTAAACAATTCTTTTTAATGCTGTTTCTTGAGAAGTACTAGGTGGCTATGCTTTAAATCATATATTAGTGATCCCCTTGGCTCCTAGTTATGCTCTTTTGATATTAGGAATGAGCAGAAAAAGTGAAACAGCAACCAGGTGGCCATGTTGGATTTTGACAATGAAAGATTGTTATTTGTGTTTCTTGAGATCTTTCTCAAATTTGATCTTTAGATTCCCGTGGTTGTTGTGCTCTTTTTCATTTTAAGACTGGTCAGAACAAAAGGCTTACAGGCAGCCATCTTGAATATTGACAATGAAAGTTTGTTATCCCTATATCTTGAGAAGGTCTGGAGGGATCTTTCTCAAACATCATTTATAGGCACCCTTGGTCTTTAGTTGTGCTCTTATGGTTTTGGGACTACTCAGAAAGTATAATTACATCTGTACTGACAGGTGGCCATCTTTGATCTGACAATAAAAGTTTATCATGATTTCTTGATAAGGACCAGATGGGTCTTTCTCAAATATCATGTGTAGGTTTGTGGTTTTCCTTGGCCCCTAGTTGTGCCCTTTTGGTCTACTTTTGGACAGATGTGACCATCTTTGATGGCAAGGAAAGGCTGTATTTGCTATTGCTGAGGTCTCTTGCTTGGGGTTGGTTTGTGATATACTTGTGATATATTAATTTGTTAATAGGGATTTTTCCGACGAGCCCTGCAGGATATTGGTGACCCTGCTAGGAAGAGGTGCTACTACAACAAGAACTGTGAGATCACTGTACTGACTCGCAACAGGTGTCAGTACTGTCGTCTCCAAAAATGTTTGGCACTAGGAATGTCAAGATCAGGTAATCTATATATACTATCATTAATATGGCAATAAATATATTATAATATATTAATATGGGGTGGGGGTGGGGGGGGGGGGGGGGTTGTATGTTAGTACATAAATATCAAAACGTTGTGTAAAGTAAGAACAGACATTTACTCACATATGTTTTTTTTTTAGTGTGAAGCCCCAAGACCAATTATCACCTCTTCAAGGTGATCCAACCCAATAACCTTAATCTGGTTAGGGGTTAGTCTTAAGTATTTCATCACGTTAATTCACACATTACAATATTACCAGTCCATGTAGAAATGAGAGAGTAAAGTCGGTTTTTCTATCTTTCTACACCTTTTGTTCTTCACAAATTCCTGCTTGAATATATGAAATCTTTAACTTTTACTGGAAACTGCACATCTTATTACTGTATATAAACCAGTTATGAATATTTCTCAGTTTAAATTGAAGTATTATGCAATGCATGTATAATTTAAAGTATGTCTGATATCTGCTAAAGGCAGAGGAAATGTAGACAAATTTTGAAGTCTAGACATAAACTGCATTTAAATATCAGAGTTTATTGAAGTCTGAAATTACCTTAGGCTTGATGTTTTTTTAGAAATGGGAATGCTACTATCAGGCGTTAGATCAGGTGTAACAATTGCTGCTATCGCAGTAAAAGTTTCGATAACCTTTAGCAATTTGAAAATATTGTTCAAATTTTTTTTGCCAAATTCACCACTGGAATGTGAGTAATCTCATAAAAATTGCTGACTTAAAATAAGACTCACTTGGGATCTAGCCTCACTTGCCTGTATAATCAGACCCATTGCTATCCCATCATATTAATATAGTGTTAATCTTAGATGTTTGAAGATAGGTCGTTGATGGTACTTTTTCATTCCCTTCATATTCAGAGCTAACATGTGTTGTGTATAAAAATAAATGTGTAAGAATTTATTCAAAGATTTTCATTTTCTGTTTAACAGAGTTATTCCCCTTGAACTGTTGTACATTGCTTGTTCTGGTAAAATTGAGGTCATTTGCAGTAGGATTACAGAAGTGAATTATCTAATTTTGGAAACATGTAAATGTAACTGATAGCAGGTGAAATGATCAGTATGAAGATAATTTCAGAAGAGGTGTGTAGTAGATTCATTGTAATCCTGAGGAAATACAACTGTTAAAACATGTAACATTTGTCTTGTTTGATTCCAGCTGCAAAGCTTGGAAGACGTTCTCGGAAAATGCGAGAAATGATCCGCAGTATGGAGGATACACAAACAGAGCAGGCCCTTCATGGTCTCCTCAGTCTCAACTCTGACATAGAACGACAGATCGCTGCCTCTACTGAAGCAGCAGTTGCTGCATCCATGAGTAATGGCATCAATCAGTCCGGACCAAGTCAGACATCAATGGCTGCCCTGTCCATGCTTCTCAAACAGCGTGCCCAGTCTGGCTTCTTAGTAGATCGTGATAGGGGCTCTATAGAGACCAACTGTTCTACTGAGGACAGTAGTGAGAGTCTGCCTCTCATCAAACAAGAACACCATGATTCCATCGAGAACCGGAAAGAGATCCATGACAGATGTCAGTCTCTGTCACCTGATGCTGAATCACCCCAAGTTCACCCTGCCCACTCTGGGATGACAGATTCAGCAACGCGGTCGTCAATTGTCAACTCACTTCTCACACTCCCACAACACATAGCGTTCCGCTTTCCCCACCCCCACCTGTTGATGCCTGGGACTATAGAACCTGGCAAGTCATATGAAAATAATGTCCCACCTTTTGTATCATCGGCCTCAGTCAGCCAGCCTATTGATGCCACGATGAATGGCCTTTCTGCACACAGCCAGTCACCACTTAGTCAACAGTCAGTTATCGTACAAAACACCACACTTGATCTCAGAAAACACAACCGTGGTGACGAGAAAATACGAAGTCCCATCAAAAAACGTCCTTACAATCCATCTTACAACACGGACAAGGAAATAGAGGAGGAAGAAGAAGTCTACCGCAAAATCCAACGCAGAGATTCAGTATCCAACGACGTTGGCTCACCTGATCCCTACCCATCCAAAAAATTGGTCATCGAGACGACAGAGAGACCTTTTCCTTCATATATTCCAATGCGGGACAAACAGTCAACAATGGACCACACTGCTGTGGTAGCCCCAATCGTAAAGAATGTGAGTCGAATGGAGGAGGACATCAAGCTCACAGTCCCAATGTTAATCTACAAAATCCATGACTCGTTCCTACAGACCTTTACCTTCATGAAGTCCAAGTTACAGGAGATGGAGGAGAAGCTGGTGGAAATGAAGGAGCATATTGCCCAGGGCCTAATGAAGAAAGAACCCAACATACAGGATCTCCAGCGCCTTGAATTCATCATGAGGGTAACCACTTTGGTTCAGTAGTAAAATTTCTACTTTGAGTCTCAAAGCATTGTTAAAATCGTATAAATACATTTTACATTCATTTAACATTAAATCTCCTATAGAATGGATATGACATGAACCACTTGGTTGCTATCCACAATTAACTTTTACAGTTCACAATGAATCCATGCTCTTATCTGAACTTGAAATATTTTGTCCCTCTGTTTTTAACTCTAAATCACTTTAAAATTGATGAACTGGTAAACAATATGAAAGCAAAGCAAAAATGATCATAGTTCACTCAAGGTGGTAGATTAAAGTTTTATGATTTACTCACATTTGTAGGGCCAAAATGGTAAAATGATAAAACCAGGAGAGCTGTGCTGGGAGGGCTTCCAGAGCTTACTGAACAAAACCATACAGGACACGGTGACCTTCGCCAAGAAGATCCCTGGATTTCCTCACCTGGACCAAGACGACCAGATCAGTCTCATCAAGGGAGGCTGTTTTGAGGTTAGCTTATGAAATATGAATGAGCCAGGAAAAAGCTGTATAAAGATATGTAATAATTAGTCTGTCACTGGAATCAAGATCACTTGTATTCATTGAGGTTTAAAAACTATTTCCAACCATTTTTCTTTCAAAACATATGTCCGGAAAAAAGGTAAAATTTCAGCACATTGTCAAATAAAGGTTTTACGATTTTTTTCTAAATTTACATATTTCGGTTGCTTTGAATATTTTAAACAGGTGTCAAATCAAATTCAAGTGAACATTTTGTGATCATGATTTGTGTATTATCCCAGTGTCATTTTATTGCTTTTTAATGGAAAAAAAGTTGCTGAAAGTCTGCCTTGAAAATAACCCAAGAATTCTTGTTATTCTGAAAATAATGAAGAAAAATAAGTGAAAGTGAATATTTCCTATTTCACTTATGCTGATGCCTATAGTGGTAAAAGTATAGCAACAACATGATTTGTTTATTTATATTTTTAGCTTTAAAATCACATTCTGCCATCTAAAGTTTCAAAAAAATTATCACTAGAACAAAATTTAAATTTTCAGAATTTTTGGCATCTGAGTTCATATATTCTTAAATAGAAAAAGTATATTGTGAAAATAGTCCTAACTGCTGTATATACGTCAGGATTTTACTACAAGTGTAATATTTAAGATTGCATTGCAGTTGTAACATTTAGGATTCAACTATAAATGTACTGCTCAGGACGGGACTATAAGTTTAATGCGTAGGACTGAACTACAAGTGCTTAGGATTGAACCAGAAGAATCCTTAGAAAGAAATACAACTTTGAAGCAATTTTGATCTTTATTTTGTAGGTAGCGTGTGTAGTGTACTCACAGCTAATAGACTCGGAAACAAATATGATGTTTGTTCTGGGTAAAAACATACTCATCAAACGGGAGGAGATGAAGATGGGGTTCCCATTGGGGGAGCACTTTGTGGAGCTTCTCTTCAACCTTTGTATGAGGTTCAATGCCTATACCCTGTGTGATGCAGAGAAGGCCCTCTTTAGTGCTCTCGTCCTTATTTCACCAGGTAAGAACTAGTGGTGACCAGGTATTGGTTGCCTTAAAAACCTTTGTATTGTGTGTACCTACGTAATGTGTGCAGGTCCTTTTTGTGTTCAAAATACTGATACTTGCGTAATGTGCACACCCATTGGTCAAAAATGATCTCCAGGAGCAAAGAAGTCAATCTCAGAATGTTCAGCTAAGATGTCAGACCAATGATAGAAAGTTTAAAACTTGAAAGCTTTCTCTTTAAAACTTGTTTTTATCTCATTTATTGACTTTTAATTACCTTCTATTTAATTACAGAAACAATGCAATGTAACAGTATACACTTACCGATCCAATTAACCTCCATTTATTTATCTTACATACACATACACAAACACTTCACATTAGACCTGATCAGCAATGTTCAGTGTTGAAATCACAGGTACCAGTCATTGTCTACCTATTAATGACAAAACCAGGTAATCACATTCTTCACATGTCATGTTGTCTTTTAAGGGTGGGTAGTTTGTTGTGTATTAATTTTGCGATATGTAAATGACTTTACCTGAAATTTCAAGAAATGTCAGATATGATATGTGATGCTCTGAAGATAACTTACATAAATATAAGATGCCTGACAATCAGCTTGGGAGGTGGGTTTTACCATTTTTCTCTGCACAGAAATGTAATTTTCTCTACTTTTCTTGTTACCATGGAAACAAAAAATCAAAATCAATATTTCAGTTTTACTCGAAGCATATCTCAGAAAGTATTCATGGCAACTTCATTGATCTTATACTGTACATTATGAGTACGTTACATTATTCTTTATATTGTTATTCGAACCTAACACATCATTTCCATGGTGATAACTTCAGTACATACCACACACCTACTACATAAATAATTTGTTCTTATTCGTTATATTTTTATGTGGTTTGTCTACAGCTATGAAACAAACGAAGTTTCTACACATCAAATATTTTATGTTATGCAGAATGCATACCATCCTTGTTCTTTAATAGTTCAAATCATTATTTGCTCTAGGTTTACGAACCTTTCAAATGTAACTTCTTTTTCTTTCAAATATGCCCTATGTGGGCGTCTGAATTCAGTGTCTGCGTACAATTTAAAACTTGGCTTAGGGTGAGTTTTCTGCCCCTTAAGAAGTTATCAAATTTAATTTCATGTTCTATTGTAAGGTCAACTTTCATAAGGAAATATTTACTATAATTATGAAGTTCCACCCTCCTTCCATATCCTACTTGTCATTTGTGTCTTAGTGCCAACATATTTATAATGACAATAGGCTCATGCCTGGTAATAAGCCCACTTTTGTATATTACTGTTCAACAGAGTAACAATAAGCCATGTCCAGGATTGTGAGTCAGGATTTCTATGTAATAATGGCCTGTGGACTAATTGTGGCCAGATATCATCCCCTAGGAGATTTATGCAGAATACATTTATAAATATGGAATTGTTATGTCACAGATCGACAAGGCTTAAACAACAGGGAGAAGGTGAGCAAGCTTCAGGAGCTGCTGATACAAGCTCTTCAGGCCCAGATTACAGCCAGTCACCCTGACGAGGCAGGACTGTTCCCACGCCTACTGATGAGCATCTCCAGTCTGCGTGAACTTGGCGTGGAGCACCGGCGCATGCTTGAGAATCTAAAGCATCAAATGAGTTTTTCACACGACCTTTATGCAGAGACCTTTGACCTTCTAACCTGAGTTGCACAGACTTTCTTGCCACACAGATATCAATCTGACTATTGTAATGTACTGAAAGCTTCCAGATTATATGTGATATTTTTTCTTTGGAATTATTTGAGAAAGAAAGTGCTGATTAACCCCAATTCACCCGAGAGCAGAAGACACTTGTTTCACTGATCTTTTTTTTTTTTTTGGTCCTATGTAACCATAGTAACATTTGTATTTATTACTTTTTCTGTTTTCATTTTTAAGGCTTTTTTTGCGTTTTCATCTTATATTTCATGCTGCTGATAAACTCATAGCTTCCCATACTTTACAAGGAGATTTGTTTTCATTCCATTGGAGAATTAAATGTTAACTAGGGTTTTATTTAAGTTAATTGCATTCCTTCCACAACATAGGTCACCAACCCCTCAAAGGGGAAACCATCGGGACCCTCGCGTACTGAAATAGATTACCAAGGGTCCAAATCATTTAGATTTCAGTTTAATTATGTCACCAGCATAGATTGATGTTATATGCCGATCACACAGTGTTCTATTCAAGTTCATGCTAAATGTTGCCAAAACCATGTTGTATACTGTACATATAAACTTTTTTTTTTTTGTTATTTTAGTCATTATTAATGAATTGATGCTAGTCTAGTAGGCATTTCCCTTCTGACCAGGGACTCAAGTCTACTGCACCAGGGCTGCATGAGCTCAGTGTTCCCAAAATGACAGTATTTTATCGGTTCCATCTGATTTAAGCAATGCCATCAATACGCCATCATTTATGTATATTACTTCAGTTACATTTTTACATTCTTAACGCAAAATGGAATTAACATCCTTTTCTTATGCTTAAAATCTTCACATTTGTAATCGAGTCTTATTTGTCATTTTTGCACCATGTATTTGTCTCATGTTGAGAATTGGTTGACTCCTAATTGGTATGCCATTTTCTGTAAGGTCATGTATAAAATATCAAGTCATTGATGCTATCAATGGCATTATCTGACCGTACACTGATGGTGCCTTCAGTCAGTAAAGCATGGTATAACCTGACCATACACTGGTGCTTCCCTTTGTGGGGTAAAGCATGGCATTAGCTGACCATACACTGGTGCTGCCCTCTGTAGGTATAAGATGATAGCACTTAACACGTTACCAGTGCTGCCCTCTGTCAGTAAAGCATGGTATTACCTGACCATACACTGGTGCTGCCCTCTGTGGGTAAAGCATGGCATTAGCTGACCATACACTGATACTGCCCTTTGTGGGTAAAGCATGGCATAAGCTGACCATACACTGGTGCTGCCCTCTGTAGGTATAATATGATAGCACTTAACACGTTACCAGTGCTGCCCTCTGTCAGTAAAGCATGGTATTACCTGACCATACACTGGTGCTGCCCTCTGTGGGTAAAGCATGGCATTAGCTGACCATACACTGATACTGCCCTTTGTGGGTAAAGCATGGCATAAGCTGACCATACACTGGTGCTGCCCTCTGTAGGTATAAGATGATAGCACTTAACAAGTCACCAGTGCTGCCCTCTGTCAGTAAAGCATGGTATTATCTGACCATACACTGATGCTGCCCTCTGTAAATGAAGCATGGTAGAATTTAAGCATGCAATGGTGCTGCCCTCTGTAGGCAAAGCTAGACACCATCTGACAATTCACTGGTGCTGCCCTCTGTAGGAGTAGCATAATTTATCTATTCAGACACTAGTGGTGCTCTGTTTAGGTATTTTGCGTGGTACAATCTGAACTCTTATGGTCTCTGTTTTAAGATAATAGCAGAGGTAATGAAGTAAGGGAGCTAACTTCTGAATTATGACGTGTTTATTCCCCCAAAATACAGAAGATGTCACATCAAAAACAATGGAGTCCAATTACATATCATCTGAAGATGTAAAACTATATCCCTTTTCACATTTGATTTTCTTGTGTGCTTCAAACTTAGTGATGTTGGCATTGTATATGTCATTTCATGACTTTTCTAATATTGTAATGATATGCAATAGATAATTGTTGCTATGCATTAAAGCTGCATATACTACTCTGTATTCCGGATACTTTTATATCAATAATGTTTTCTGGCCTCTTTTTTTTCAATAACTTAAACACTTTCCTTCCTCTTCATGATATAAAGTTAGGCCTTCAAGGAATGAAGTTGTGATGAATTAACAACATTTGTATTATTTATTTTCATTTTTTTTTTCTAATTCAGGCTTTGTTCTAGCTTGTTGTAAGATACATATCATATTTTTACACTTGGAATGTGAAACAGAGTGAAAATGTTTGTAATATAATTAATAATAATTAAGGAGATAACCAGTGAAATTTGTTCTGTGAATGTATTTTTTTTTTTTTTTTTGGGGATATATGAATACTTATTTAAGTGAAATTTTAGCTCTTCTTTACGAGTCCTGGTTAAGCTTAAAATCATTGATTATCTGACAGTAATTATTTTTTATTTTAAGTTTTCAAAGTTGATCTCTTCAGATTTATAAATCTCAACAGAGAAATTTAAGTAGAGAGATGTGGAATAGCTGCATAGAAAACATATCTTTCCTCGCCTGTTTCGTGAGAAATAGAGATGGAAAGATATCTCACTGATGAAGAATCAGACGAACAATGAGAATTATTTATAATTAAGGAAACATAATCCTTTTTCTTTCTTTTTTTTTTTTTTTTTAGATTATTTTAAAGTGGTACACCGGTGATAGACAAGTGTTGATAACTTTTATGGTGCCTTTCCATAAGTATTACTGAAATCATTATACCTACTCTATGGTTTTTAATTATACTTATACATTTTAAGTTGAAATGTATATATATAGAAAAAAAAAACAAAACAAACAAAAAAATCAAAATGCTGTTACACATGATATTTATTATATATCAATTATCCTTGTAAAATTTTCTGTTTGATACATAGATAAAATCTCAAATCCTCTTCAATATTTCTCTTTCTTTTTTCTTTTTTTTTTCATTTTAATCCTTCTCTCATGTGGTTTTTCTAACATGATTATTTCAAAAGGTGTTGCTATGTTGACTGTGTTGTTCTTTTCTTTGTAAAAAAGCTGTCTTCTGCCTCGGTGAAGCTCTTGGTGCTGGTAATATTATGATGATGTTATTGTAACGGAAACTTTTTGGTATGAAATTAATCTGTATATATATCACACTTTGTATGCTATGATATATGTGGGGGGGAAATCGGCTTTTTATGTTTACAATGTATGTAAATTTGTTTGATTTTTATTTATTATTAAAAAGTCCATGTACTGGGGCAGCCCCGCAAGTCCATTTGTCTATAAATATTTAAGTAAGTACAATTGTAGTTAGCTTTTTTGAAATTTTGAGCATCCATTATTTATTCATTCGTTCGATTCCATGATTTGTATTTTTATACATTTTTTGTTTATATGTATAGACTGCGGAATGTTTGTTACTGAGTGGTTTTGACGTAGGGAGATAATTATTAGTGACTGTGGAGTTATCATAGTGTTATTCTGATGGGAGGATCAAGGGTTTAGTGACATATCAAATGTTTTATGGTCTGATAGTGATGGTGTAGTCTCAATACATTTGTATCACTATAGTTTCTATGACTGCCAAATTTTACCTGTGATAAAGTTTTAAACTGGAAGATTATCTGTTTTGAACCATCATAAATATTTCAATGCAATTCCCCAAATCCTGTTATAAACTATATATATTTCACAACTATTCCAAAACAAGTAATAGATTATATGAATCACCCTTGTTGACCTGAATGGTCAAGCAGGTGACCTCAAATCCTTTCACCGCAATTTGAAATAATTAGCCACATATAACCTCTATTACCACTTCACCAGACTTTCTGATTGGAAATAACTGATCTTTGTCACAGGATATACTAGATATATCAAAGAAATGGTTAATTTTCATCTTCAGATTTTCATTACGTTGAAGCAATTTTTAGAGCAACAAAGTTTATCACTGGTAAAATTCAGTTACTCCTGGACAGTCAATGTGTGATACTGTATACAGTCACTTTGATCAAACACAATTGTTCTGTTGGTTTTTTTTCTTTTGTAATTATTTTTGGGTGGGGTGTCTAGTTTCTCTACATTGGTACTTTCCTTATAAGGTTGGTAAATGTTTCCGATTAATTCCAAAGACACAAAGAAAATATAAAAGTTTAATATATTAAATTTTAAAAACCTAGAAAATTGGCTGTCTAGAATAGCAGGTTGGAGTTATCAATGAGTTTGAACAGATATACAACAGGTAATTAGAATGATTGACCTGATACACAACAGGTAATTAGAATGATTGACCTGATAAACAACAGGTAATTAGAATGATTGACCTGATAAACAGCAGGTAATTAGAATGATAGACCTGATACACAACAGGTAATTAGAATGATAGACCTGATACACAACAGGTAATTAGAATGATTGACCTGATAAACAACAGGTAATTAGAATGATAGACCTGATACACAACAGGTAATTAGAATGATTGACCTGATACACAACAGGTAATTAGAATGATTGACCTGATACACAACAGGTAATTAGAATGATTGACCTGATACACAACAGGTAATTGGAATGATTGACCTGATACACAACAGGTAATTGGAATGATTGACCTGATACACAACAGGTAATTGGAATGATTGACCTGATAAACAGCAGGTAATTGGAATGATTGACCTGATACACAACAGGTAATTAGAATGATTGACCTGATACACAACAGGTAATTAGAATGATTGACCTGATAAACAACAGGTAATTGGAATGATTGACCTGATAAACAGCAGGTAATTGGATTGATGAAGCTATGGAGTGAAAATGTGATATTATTGTAACCATATGACGGATGGTTGACTGACCATTACAGGTAGCTACCAGGCTTCAAAGCAGCGAGCCGTCTCAAGTGGATATTCATACTGAATCATTAGCTGGTCATTTTACATCATGTGTGGATTGTTTTAATCGTTTCTCATTAAGAGCCTTGTGTTTTATGAAACACG